TCCCCCCCCCCTCCCGTCCCGAGCTGGTGGTTGTAAACTTGATTGGCATTGGCTGCGCCCACTGATCCCTGCACCGAGTCCACTGAAGATTTAAGGTGGATCTAAGAGGCTGCAGCTGCAGGCGGAGCCTCGCTCTTAGTTTTGGAAGAAAAAACCCCAAACCGTGCGCTCGCTGCATTTTACGAATCCTTTGGTCCCCAGGTCCGCGGGTCCCCGCCCAGCCCGCCGCGTTTCCCCCGCCCACCTTCCCCTGATTCCCCATTGGCCCGCGCGTGTAGTTTGAATTTTTTTTTTTTGGTTGCTTGTTTTCTTGTTTAAAAAAAAAAAAAATTACAGTACCGTATATCATGTGATGAGACTTACTTGGGCAGCCTGAGGTGGGGTGTTTTAGCTGGTTTGGTTGAAGGCGGTAGGGAGCAGGATGGGTGGAGCTTCTGTTCCAAAAGTTACCCCCGCCCCCAAGTGCCGTTGACAGAGTGCAGGCGGGAAGCTTCGGCTGGGGTAGAGATGTAGCATCAAACATTCATGGATGTCCAGGGAGTGCGGGCCCACGGGCTGCTGGCCAGAGGTACTAGGAGGGCACAGGCGGAGCCCGACGAGGATGCACCTTCCCCCACCTTGGAAAGGTAGATTTGGGGAGGGTGGGAGCGGGTAGGTATCCTGGAAATGATTATTTTCCCATCCAGGAAATAAACCAAATGCAAGGTGTGTCTCTAGACTCTATTTAGAGCAAAGAGGGTGTTATTCCGGGGGTTAGAATATGACAAAATTCATTACGACAGAGGCAGTTGGTGCCCTTTTCTTTTGTTTCTTTCTTTTTCTTCTTTTTTCTTCTTCTTTACTTTAAAGAAAAACAAAACAAAAAGCCAAACCTAACAAACTCTGTTTTCCAGTGTTTTTGCTTGAGAATGAGGTAGGGGACATAAAGTCCCTTTGATTTCTGGGTCTGAAAACTCATTGGAAAGAGTATGTTAAGATTTAGGACAATTTGCTTGGTAGCACAGGTCTAATACAAGTGGTGATCTTTTTAGTTTAGGATCCAACTATGTTTCTCTTTGCAGTGAAGCATTTAAGCGTTTATAATAATTCAAAGCTAGCCAGTCCCAATCAGCTTTCACTGAATTGGTGAAGTTAGCATACACACACCTTTTTTTCTTTGCTTTTCTTCCTTCACCTTTAAAAAAGTTTCCCGAGATGTCCTCTTCAGCCTTCTTTAGCCAGATGCCCAGCCCTGGCCTCCCCACAGTTCCTAAACCAGTATTCTGTGTTTTTGTTTTTAACTGCCCCATCTTGAACTGGCCAGACAAACCCCTTAACTCCCCCAGCACACTAAGCTCTCTGACCGCCGTCGTAAACCCACCTGCTCAGGTCTCTAGGCTGTATTCATTTACTCTGTCAGAGGTGCATGGTCTCTTCTGCCTTTCTGGGGACCCGCCTAATCAGAATGGGCAATCCGTAAGGAAAACCTTGTCAACCTCAGGAGGAACTTGACGGTGTAAGGACTATGTAGTCTCAGGAAACAGGTCTCCGCCTTGAGTGTGACTCAAGCCCTGGATGTGCCCCTGACTGGGTGTTGTAGATAAGATTCAGATAGCAAATGACTATGAAGACTGGTTTTGAAGTTTGTGCTTGGCATGGTGGAGAGCACACCTTGAGAGGTAGAGGCGGGAGGAGCTGGCGTTCAAGGCCAGTCTTGCCTACTTAGAGAGTTTGAAGTCAGTCTGGGCTGCGCGGGGGGCCTCAAACATACAAACAAGGACACAAACAAAAGCGGTCATTAAATAATACTCAACAGGGCATGATGGTGCACACCTTTACTCCTAGTACTCACAAAGCAGAGGCAGGTGGATCTCTATGAGGTCCAGGACAAAAATAAAAAATAATTTAGGGGCTGGAGAGATGGCTCAGCGGTTGAGAGCACTGACTGCTCTTCCCGAGGTCCCGGGTTCAGTTCCCAGGTCCCACACGGCAGCTCACAGCTCCAGTTCCCGGGCCCCAGTGCCAATGCACATAAAATAAAAATAAATTAAAAATAATTTTCAAAAAAGTCTCTTGCTCCCACCCCTACCTCCTAGATGAAGTCTTGCTGGCTTTGAACTCCTGAGCTCAGCGGATCCCTGACTAGGTGGGTCCATGGGGTCCATAGGCACGTGCCGCTGCACCCATCCTGACCTTTGAGTAAAAGGGAGGCCTTAAACTAGCACAGCGAGAATAGCTGGGTAGAAATCTGCCAGCATTGAGGCCTTGGCAGGGAGGGCGTTGCTTGGTGGGTGAAGTGCTAGCTGCACAAGCATAAGGACCCGAGTCTGGATTCCCAGACCTTGTGTTAAAAGCCACCGCTGGCAGTGCACATCTTTAATCCAGAGCTGGTGAGTGGACAGACAAAAGTAGAGTCTTGGGTCAAAGTGACATCCATTCTAGTTAGCACAGTGAGCTTCGGATTCATTGAGAGGGAGGGTAATAAAAGATGCCAGTGGTGACTCCTGGCCTCCACATGGGCATGCGTGGGTGCATGCACACAGGACACATGCGCACACACAGACGAACTCTACTAGTGAGTGAACACCTAGTCTTTAATCTTTAACCAGTATTAGGTTTGATCCGAATTGTTGGGGTACGTGACTGCTGACAGTGGTCCCAGGGGACAAGAATGGAGCAGAAAAACCGCGCGTTGATGTATGTTCTAATATCTAATATCATGGCGCTCTAATATCATGGCGCTGTGTATTGTTCACGATGTGATGCTGCTGGTGTTGTACTGCCCCACAGTTACATACAATACTTGATGGTAGTAAATGACCGCTACTGGCTTGTGCATTTATTACAGTAAACTTTCTATTGAATACTTCCTATTATCATCTTAGGGTATACTAAGATATATATAAGTATATATCTTAGTATAAGATATATACTAAGATACTCCTTAGATATGTGTTTAAAGTTAACTGTAAAAGACTCTCAAGTTAACCCTTCAGAAGGCATTATTGTCATCGTAAGGGACAACAGTTCTAGGCATGTCCCTGCCCCTCACCACCTTCCAGGAAGACTGGATAAAAGGTAGAGGCAAAAGATATCGTGTCAATTCTATTTTTCAGTGTCTGGATAGAAGCCAGAGCCTTGGGTCTGGTAGTCAAGCATACTAAAATTCAATGGATGTTAGGCTGGCCTTGAACTTACCAAGTAGCTGACCTCCAGCTTGAAGCAGTCTTCCTTCCTCAGCCTCCCACATGCTTGTATTACAGATGTGCACCACCACACCTGGCTCAGATAAAGATGAACTTGATCCTGTGTGGCTAATTTACAAAAAAAATGTTTTTTTAAAGTGGTCTTTTTTTGTCGTTTTGTTTTTGTGTGCATTGGTGTTTGGCCATTGGTGTCAGGTCCCCTGAAACTGGAATTACAGACGGTTGTGAGCTGCCATGTGTGTGTTGGGAACTGAACCCCTGAGCCATCGCTCTAGTCCCAAATTTTTTTTAAAGTAAATTAAAGCAGAAGGCCCTAGTTGTGATCCCCAGCTCTATGTATCCTGATGCATGCCTGTAATCCTGGCACTCAGGAGGGAGGTCGGGAGAACCAGGAATTCAAGGTCATCTTCAGCTACAAAGCAAGTTAAGAGGCCCAACTGGCCTATATGAGACTATACCAAAATGAAATAAACCAACAACCAAGCAACAAACAAAATAACCTCACAGATTAAGCACATAAAGAAAATATTTTTAAATATCTGTACAATGTGTTCTAAGTTAGATGTTATTACAAAAGTTAAAAAAGTTATTTATTTATTTATTTATTTATTTATTTATTTTAAAGAAAAGCCAGACATAGTGGCACATGCCAGTAATCCTAACACTGGAGAGGGGAAGCGCAGTGTCATTCTTGGCTACACAGTGATTCTGAGGGCAGCCTGGGTTACATAGTTAAGAAAGAAAGAAAGAGAGAGAAAGAAAGAAAGAAAAAAAGAAAGAAAAGTGTTTTAAAAAACATGTCATAGAAGTTAATTTATTATTTAAGGCAGAAATTGTTAAAATAAATGATATTCAGTCCAACTGTCCAGTGTATAGAGTCCACAGTAATGTGTCAGTGGTCTCCACATTCATTGCCTGTTACTTATTCATTGATTGCCCCAGGACAAGTCTCAGACATGCGTGCTCTGGTCCTGGTAAGAGTCCTATACAGTCCCAGCATTTTATACTTGTTTATTTGTTTTGAGGCAGCCGAGTGACCCTCACATGTACTCTGTAGTCGACACGGCCTTAAACTTGGTCTTCCCGTCTGTTTTTCAGTACTGACATTAAAGGCAGAAACTGCCACAAACAGCTTCCATTTTGTATCTTTTCTGCAATATTTTTACTCGGTATTTTATACACGGTGTAAGCTATTTTATGCACTATTTTTACTTTTCTGGGCTTAGATGTTTGGATAGACAAATATTATTGTTACAATCACTTAAAGTATGCGATCTAGGACAAGCTGTTCGGGATTGTAGGGCTAGGAGCTGCAGCCTCTATCCTGGAGCCTAGATGTGCAGCTGGCTGTACCGTCTGGAGTCGGCTCCGTGGTGTTCACACAGTCACAACACATTGGTCAGAAGGTGTCTCTGTGATCAGCAACACATGACTGTATTTCTGATGAAATCAGACTCGATCGCCGTAGCTCCCCTGTCCTGGGAGGAGAGACAGGGAAGTCCAGTATATTAGGAATAATTCAGGGAACAAACTCCAAAATGCAAACAGGTCACATTTACTGCTGATATTTAAGAGAGGAGAAGGTGGTGGGTAGATGTGAAATCCTCATTCTAGGGTGACCTGCACTGGTAAACAAGGGCACTGTATTCTTTGGCAGGAATACTGACCATGGGAAAGCTGACAACCTCACCAATGCCTTTACACTAACGATTAACTTTGATTATCGTGTGTCGTGTATCCTCCCTGTGACCCCCAGGAGCTAGGGATCCAACCCAGAGCCTCCTGCATGCTAGGCGAGTGCTCTACCACTGAGTCACATCCCCTGCCCCCCTCCCCTCACCGTTTCTCCCTCCCTTTCAGTCTCTGATGCACCCAGGCCGCATTATTTATAAGAATGCAGACTGTGGTTTCATTTCTGGTGAGATCAATCCTTCTGCTCTGTATTCTTCCCCCTTCCAGAAAGTTCCCAGCTTCTTTTGTCCTATGTGGATTTAAATTTTCTGATTTTAATTATTGCTGGCTTTATTTTATTTTATTATTTTATTTTTTATTTTTTATTTTCGGTTTTTCGAGACAGGGTTTCTCTGTAGCTTTGGAGCCTGTCCTGGATCTATCTCTTGTAGACCAGGCGGGCCTGAACTCACAGAGATCCACCTGCCTCTGCCTCCCGAGTGCTGGGATTAAAGGCGCGCGGCACCACTGCCCAGCTATTGCTGGCTTTAAAGAAGTGACAGGCAGCACACCTGTGGTTCCAGCACTTATGAGGCAGAGCCAGGAAACTAAGGAGTTCAAGGTCATCTTCAGCTCTGCCCTAAGTTGAGCCCAGCCCAAGCTCCATGAGACTCTGTCCTGAAAATAAAAGGAAAAAAGAGCGAGCAAAAGGAAATAGGAAAGAAAGGGCCAGGGAGTGATGATAGAAGGATTTTCTAGGGTGTACAAGGTTCTGGATTTGAAGCCCAGCACGACAAATAACAATAATAAAATGAGGATCCTTATGTCACATTTTCTACTGGAATAAATTCTTGAAGAATTAGAAAGGACGTAGAAGAGGGGCCGGCAAATTAGCTGAGAAGGTAAAGAGACTCAGCGAGCAAACACCGAAAACCTGAGTTCAATCCTGAAACCCATGTGCAGGTGGAAGGAGAGAACCAAATGCATAAAGTTGTCTGTCTTCCACACACATATGTCACATCCCCTCACACATGTATACACACACACACGTATACACACACACACACACACTAAATTATTTAAAATTGAAAGAAAGGAAGGAAATAGAAAATATGAAATCATAAATATAAACAAAGAAACCTGAGAGAATTTTTAAAACTTGTGTGTTGTGCCATGGATATGGTATATGTACTTGTTAGTGCTAGTGTTAGTGCTAGTGTGTGCGTGTGTGCGTGCGTGCATGCGTGCGTGCGTGTGTGTGTGTGTGTGTGTGTGTGTGTGTGTATGTGTAGAGGCCAGAGATTAAGGTCAGGTTCTTTCATTCATCACTTTCAACCTTATATTTTTCAGACAAGGTCTTATACTGAATCTGAAGCTCATCCATTAGGCCAGGCTGGCTGGTTGTTGTACTGCAGGGGTCTGCCTGTATCTATTGCAAGAGCCCTGTTTTGACCATGCTTTTGCCAGCATGGGTTCTGGGGGTCCAGCTCTGGTCCTCCTCTCTGTTTTAAAAACAGGCACTTTATTAACTGAGCCGTTAACCAAACCCCCCGAGAAAAAATTTGAAAATTAAGTATCAGAGTGGGGAAGGTATTTTTAAGTATGATAGAAAAATATAAAATTCATAAAATGAAATAGCAATAAATTTGATGACATAAATTATAAAATTAAATTCCTTAATTATTT